CACTCTGTGGGAGAAAGATTAGGCAGTCTGTTTCAATAAAGATTTACAACCTTGGAAACCTTATGAGGCAGTTCTCTATGACTTAGAATCAACTCAGTGACAGCATGTTTTTGTTTGTTTGTTTGTTTTGGTATGTAAGTCTCTCATCTCCACAAGAAATTGATGGACATAGTTTGAATATTAGAAATGTCACTTTATGAAATGTGTCCAGAAGTTGTCATCTTCTTTCCCCAAACCTGCTCAATCAAAGGCATCTCCATCAATCATCTGCTCTAAGCCAGAGCTTGCCCTTACTTCCACTAAAACCAAACAAAACTCCCTGCTGTGGAGTCAGTACTGATTCACGGTGACCCCTCCTTGGCTTTCTGAGGTAGTATCTCTACTAGTTCTTATAAATTTTAGATCATAATAATTTTAAAATTTCTGCCTGCCTTTTTATCCCATTTGCTCAGGACCTAACCACTGCACTTGGCACCTGAAAGGATGGCTTTTGAAGGGTGTGTAAGAACATGTGGTGGTGTTTTTTCGTTTTGGTTTCAATTCAAAGGATGAAGCAGGTTAAGAGAAGGGAGATTAAAACCAAAGAAAGAGTATGGAGGCAAAACTTCAATTTGGGAGACTATTATTAGCCAACATGCTCTAAATTATAAGACTTTGAGAAAGGGCACTCATTATAAATAAGGGAGGAGCAGGAAGGGTATTCCTTCTGCTGTGGGAATGTTAACTCATAATATAAATAATGTAGTCAGGTGTGAAAAGGGATCAACACAAAAACTTATCATTAGTACTCAAAAATGGGTAGGTATATTATTGTCATTGGTAATATTTTTATTGTTGTTGTTATTTGCCGTCGAGTCGGCCCCGACTCATAGCGACCCCTCCTTGGGTTTCCGAGGCAGTGTCACTACGGAAGTAGGATTGCCCAACCTTCCTTCTGAGGAGTGGCTGGTGGGTTTGAACCGCCAGCCTTCTGGTTAGCAGTCAAGTGCCTTAGCCACTATGCTGCCAGAGCTTTTATTAGTATACTGAAAAATAGGAAGAGAATTGGGAAATTATGAAAAGTATGGAAAGCCATCATTAATTTCTACCACTGATCAAATATTTTAATTATAATTCATACTTTTCTATAATTTTATATTTGGTGTTTTTATGTATAGAGATCTCACTATATAGTAAGGTTCTTAGAGATGGGACCATATCTCATACATAAAATTGTATCAATTTCTGAATAAAGCAAAAGAGTGAGTGTGGTAGGCAGTTACTAGGAAATAAATGAATTAGTGAAGAGGAGTGGTATTTCTATCAACAATCTATGTCACTCTAAAATACTTATTAGTGCTGAGTATGAATCTGGACTTATTCCTTTCCAAAACAAGTGGAACCAGTTTCTCCTTTCACTAAGATTTCAAAGCAAGGCACACAGGATATCTCTTTGCTTGTTAACTGATGAAGAGAAGGGAATATATTTGTACATTTCTATCTGTGCATCCCCATGTGTTAAATTCCAGGAATGGGAATATAATTTTAATTGTTTATTTATTATTACATATTTTCTAAAATCATATATTATAAAGGGATGCTGATGAAAGTAAGAAAGGCAGAGTTTACAAGCTCTCAGGAAATAAAATGTTTAACTTTCATCCTAATGCCAGCTCCATAGAAATCACTGTTGTTATTGAAATAGTCTTTAGTCTACATTATGCATTATTCTTTCTCATTCTAGTGCTGCTGACCACCCTGATTATCCATTTTCTGAAGAATATTAACGAGGAGGCTTTTGTCACAATTTCTTGCAAAAGCCATGGATGCAGGAAACTTCTCAGATGCTGGTGATAAGACAGCACCTCTGGTTAAAACTTTTCTGCTTAGCAACTCACTCTCAGCCAGAGTTGTGCCCTTAGGTTAGCAGGAAAGGCACTATATTCTTGTCATTTTAGAGAAAGAATAAAGATTCTCCCCAAAAAAAAGATTCTTATCCATTCCAGTCTGTTACTTACATACTTTGCTTCCTTGTCATATTCAAGCCAAAAGTGATTGGCCAAGAAGATTGGAGGCAGTGGGGAAGGAGTTCAAAACAATTTTATAGACGTTCCTGGGATGGGAACAAGGGAGTTTTCAGCTACTAGGAAACTAGTGACTGGCAAGAATTTATCAGTGATTCCTTAGCCCTTTGAGGTCCAGGAAAATTAACTGCACATAGTGGGAAAGATGAGACACATATTGAAAGGATGACCAACAAAACTCAGCAGCACAAAGGATCAGAGCTTCAGGAAATTGGGAACAAGAAATCTGTGTCAGGGTTAGCCCAAAGGTGGGAGAGGAAACAGCCAGCTTGCATGATTACCACTTAGGTGTGAAGGTAAAACTCCTTTACGTAAGGGAGTAGAGCACATTCTCTACTTGGGAAATGTTAGCAAATGGTCTTTTGATAATTATGTCATGCACATAAAAGGAAACCATTCACACTGTTTATCAAAGAGCCTAAACTGAGGGTCATGCCTTGATCTGCACCTGTGTGTCCAGGTCTCAGTGATGACCTTGCTGGGGTGTGCAGGGGCAGAAAATTGAAGAAACACCTAACAGATCAAACTTCCTGAACATTTAACACCGTATTTCCCAAGTTCTCTTGTTAGGTGCTGTCAAGTCAGTTCCAGCTCAGAGCCACCCTATTTACAACTGAAGAAGACACTGCCCAGCCTTGTACCATCCTCACAGTTGTTGCCATACTTGATCCTATCATCACAGCCACTGTGTCATCTTGCTGAGGGTCTTCCCCTTTTTCACTGACCCTCTACTTTCAAAAAAAAAAAAAAAAAACTCACTGACATCAAGTCGGTTCCAACTCATAGCAACACCTTCCTCGGATTTCTGAGGCAGTATCTCTACAAAAGTAGATTGCCCAGTCTTCCTTCCAAGGAGTGGCTGGTCCTTCTCCAGGAACTTGTCCCTTTGAAAACATGACCGAAGTACAAGAGACAAAGTCTGGTCATTCTTGTTTCTAAGGAGCATTCTAGCTGTACTTCCTCCAAGATGAATTTGTTCCTACTTCTGGCAGTCCATGGTACATCCAACGGTCTTCACCAACACCACAATTTAAATGCATCAACTCTTCTTTGTTTTTCCTCATTCACTGTCCAGCTTTCACACGTGTATGAGGCTACTGAAAATACCACAGGTGGGATCAGGCACACCTTAGTCTTCAAAGTAACATCGTTGCCCTTTAACACTCTTAAAAGGTCTTTCGCAGTAGATTCATCCAGTACAATATGTCATCTCATTTCTTGACTGCTGCTTCCACGGGCACTGATCGTGGATCCAAGTAAAATGAAATCCCTGACAACTTCAGTTTTTTTCTCCATTTATCGTGATGTTGCTTACTGGTGCAGTTATGAGGATTTTCATTTCCTTTGTGTTGGGGAGTGATCAATACTGAAGGCTATAGGCTTTGAACTTCATCAGTAAGTGCTTCAAGTCTTCTTCACTTTCAGCAAACACAGTTGTGTCATCTGCATAAAGCAGGTTATTAATGAGTCTTTCTCCAATCCTGATGCTGTATTCTTCACATAGTCTAGCGTCTCATATGATTTGCTCAGCATACAGATTAACTAAGAATAGTGAATGATACAACACTGACGCAAACCTCTCCTGATTTTAAACCATGTCGCCCTTGTTCTATTTCAAATGACTGCCTCTTGGTCCATGCACAGGTGCATCATGAGCACAATGAAGTGTTCTGGAATTTCCACTTTACAATGTTATCCAAAATTTGTTATGATCCACAGAGTCAAATGCTTTTGGATAGTCAATAAAACACAGATAAACATCTTTCTAGTATTCTTGCTATCAACCAACAATCATCTTACATCAGCAATGATATCCCTCATTCCATGCCCTCTTCTGAATCTGACTTGAATTTCTGGAAGCTCCCTGATCATGTGCTACAGGAAACATATTTGAATTCTCTTCAGCAAAATTTTACTTGTATGTGGTGTTAATGATGTTGTTCAATAATTTACACATTCTTGTGGATCACCTTTTTTGGAATGGGTACAAATATGGATTTTTGCTAATGAGTTGGCCAGGTAGCTATCTTCCAAACTCCTTGACATCAATAAGTGAGCTCCTCCAGCACAGCATCCATTTATTGAAACATCTAAATGGGTATTTAGGCCTTGAGCCACATGTGTGTGTCCAGGTCTCAGTCATAACCTTGCTGAGCTATGCAGGGGCAAGAAATCAAAGAAACATCTGAAGCTCCAACTCCTGAACTTTTCACATCCTATTTCTCAAATTTGCTTAGGTTATAACTCATTAACTCACTGCCATCAAGTTGGATCCAACTCATAGCTACCCCTCCTTAGGTTTCTGGGGTGGTATCACTATGGAAGTAGAATGCTCAACCTTCCTTCCAAGGAGTGGCTGGTGGGTTTGAACCACCAGCCTTATTATTAATTTGATATACTTGATCTCTTAAATGTTTGCAACACCATGAAAGGGGGACTTACAAATACAAAACACAAAATGGTCCTAACCCCTTAAATATTATGTTAAACCAATAATAAAATATCTAATGAATTTAGTAAATCCAATTCTCTTACATTTTCAAACATCATTTAAAACTACTACTATTGCACACTCCCATTGAGTTGATCCCAACTCATAGTGACCCTTCCTTGGGTTTCTGAGGCAATATCTCTACATAAGTAGATTGCCCAATCTTTCTTCCAAGGAGTGGCGGATGTGTTTGAACTGCCAGCTTTCTGGTAGCAGTCAAATGCCTTAGGTACTACACCACCAGAGCTCCCCCTTCAAAAACAGAATATGCAAAACAACACTATGCCAGCAAAATTTGTCAACTTTTAGAGACACATGTCATGAAAATGTACATTTATTTTCTGTATTTTTAAGGGTGCAAATTTAATCATCTAATGACTTGATGGCACATAACAACAACAACAACAACAATAATCATTAGAACCCAAATTTTCATGTTAGTCAATATGTTGAAAATGTGGGACAAAGTCCTTCGAGACAATGTTCAGAACCGGGGTACACTTCCCAACAAGTTTGTAACAGTTGCATCTTCTCATGGCCGTATTGCTCTGTCACATCAACTGAGCTTTCTAAGGCCATTGGACATTGCTTTCGTTTTTAATCTGCTCCATAGTGGAAAACTAAATCAGGCCAATTCAGGTTTAACCAGATCAATTAATTATTTGAGTCATTCTAAGCTTAACCAGCCACTCCTCAGAAGGAAGTTTAGGGATTGGGCAAGATGGTGGACTAGGCAGAAAGACTGCTCAGACCCTCTTCAACAAAGAAAAGGGAAACCAATTAACACAGACACAGAAGATAATCTTGGACCCCTGAGTCTTGAAGGGAAGGATACAGAAGTGGACTAAACCCCAACTAGCAGAAGAACTTGCATGAAAATACCAAAAAAGGAGACATACGGAGCTGTGGCCTGTCAGCGATGCTGAGTGATCCTGATGGCACAGACAGCTTGGAGCTTCCTGAGTGGTGATAGGACCTAAGAATTAACCTAAAAATCAGCCCTGCTAGCCAGAGACTGTGCAGAGGACTGCTATGGTGGCTGGGGAATAAACAGAGAAGGTGAAGAGAAAGGCGGGCTGAGCTGTGGATGTTTGCCAGTCTGGAGGGCGCCACTATTTTGGCGCCACTATTTTGAAGGTCTAAAAGCAGCTGGACTATTTAGGATATTTAAAGAGACCACGCTCTCACAGATTCCTGGGGCTTAAGAACACATTCTGCTTTCCAGCAACCCCAAAGACACTCAGGACTTGGAAGAGTGAAAAGGTATCACATTCTTCTTGTTACTATTATTCCCCACACCCACTTTGTGAACAGAGGTGCAGCCATTCCCCACTCCCACCTACCTTCTGGGCCCACAGGAACTCCATCACAGTCTGTGTGCTCAGACGGAGCCTGCGTGCTCTGCCCAGTCCTCCACCAATTTTTTTTTTTTTTTCTCTTTTTTAATTTTTTTTATTTTTCACTTTCTTTTTTCTGGTGATTAGTTTGCTTGTATTTGTCTCTTTTAAAACAACTATCATTATTAATACTTTTGTCCTTTTTACTATTATTCTTAATCTTCCCCTCCCAGGTCCTAGTTTTCAGCATTTTCTCTTTTCCCTGTTCCTGGTTGAAATTTGTTTTGTTTTTATTTTTTTAATTTAAGTGGTTTTTTTTTTTTTTTTCCTTCCCCCTTTTTTCTCATGGTTAACCCTGTTTCTCGTTTTTCTATTTGCATTTTTCCCATTATTTTTTCCTTCATTAGTCTCCTTCTCTACTTTTTTCCTCATAGTGCCATATCCCCAGATATTGCAGGAGTTTTTTGTTTTTTCCTCTTCTTTTTCCCTTTTTTCTTTTTTTGGTTACTGTTCCTATGTGATTACATGATGTGTTTTTTGTCCATGTGTTTTTAGTTTTTTGATGGCTGCTGTTGTTGTTGTTGTTATGTGCCCTTGTGTCTAACTGAATGGGAGACAACAACAGTCCCCATAAGACACAACTATACCCACACCTCCTGCAACTTCACTTACTGAACGAGAGCCACTACCTCCATCTCCACCGATGGGCCAATGATAAAAAAACATACCAAGAAGAGCCTGAATCACCCTTGGCTGCTCTTCACAAACAGTTAACAGAGATCTAAATAAAACAATGCCACAATGCCTCAGA